TTGGACAGTCTAGGCTTTCTGACCTTGAAATATTATCAATTGAAAGAGATTTGGCAAAAGAAGTTGATTTTGATGAAGTAATTAACAAGTTTGCATCTCTAAAGGCGAGGAAAAGGAAGTTCTGATTTAATTGAGATATAATGTGACATAAAATTTAATGTAAAAATAACAATTAAAAAAGTTTTATTTCTTAAAATCTTTGATAGATCACAATTTTTTTTTAAAGAATAAAAAAATCGACCTTGAATTATTTTTTCTTCTATGTTCGTTGAAAATTTATTTATAAATTTTGCTAAGAATGCTGTATGTCTATGGGGTGTCATGAGAGGGGTGACACCATGAGTTACCGCACCGGTAAAACTTACCTCTATTTACGATATTTACCTCTTCAAATGGATAGATTGTTAGTTGAAAAAGAATTTATGATTAAGAAATCTTTTTCCCATTTCTGTTTGAACAAGCTAACTATGTTGAACGAAGAATCATGTACACAATGGTGGGGAATATTCTTCAACCATTTCAAAGTTCTGCCATTAAGATCTTCTTTTAAAGAACACTACCAGCACCTCTCCATAAACAGTCATGTTTGTATGAGCATGCTTGCTTTTATTTAACTCTTAAAGATTTTTCTGCTAATTGTTTAAAAAAATGCGTGAAAAGTTTTAAAAATTTCAGTAAATACGATAATAATTAATAAAAATTAAAATCGTTAAGTCCTGGGCATGGTATAAAACTGCATCCACGCTGCCTTGCGTGTTTTGGGCAAAAGGCTAAGCCCACCGCTCATAACTGGTGGTTGTTGTCAAGATGGGTGTCCGGACATAAAAAATTTTCCCAAAATTTATTCTATGCCATAACAAACAAAAACAACGGCCCTTAGTCCCCAGCGGGCCTTAAGAGGTCAAGGGGTGCTAAAAATCCCTGGAAAGCATGCAATAGCGGAGGGATGTTACAGAAAAATTCAGAATGGTACTTAGACTTGAAACGCTCAATGTTGGATCACTGACTGGCGCAGCATGGAAATCGCAGAAATGTTCGAGCGTAGAAGGATTGACATCTGCTGCCTTCAGGAGACCCTATGGAAATCGAATGGTGTCTTTCATACCAATTCAGACAAAGAAAAATATAAACTATTCTGGAATGGTCAAAAGACGGCCAAAAATGGTGTTGAAATTTTTGTTAAAATACCGCTAGCCCAAGAAGTACTGGATATTAAAAAGATTAACTCACGTCTCATGTGGATCAAGATTTGCCTAGAAAAGCAAACAATGACCATTTTTTCTGCATACGCACCACAGACAGGCGAATCAGAAGAGATGAAAAATGACTTCTGGGCTGCGTTCTTTGACACCATCTCAACAATACCAAAATCTGAAATCTCAATGGCCACGTTGGAGAAAAAACAAATAGTTTTTACAACGTGCATGGCGGTTTTGGCTATGGAAAACGGAATGAAGATGGCAACCGCATCCTTGAAGTCACGGGTTTTATTTGCTGAACACATATTTTAAAAAGAGGTTGGAACAATTCATAACATACAAAAGTGGACCATCAGCCACGCAAATTGATTTTTTTGCTGTCAAACAACAACACCGAAGGCTTTTCAAAAATGTCAAAATTA